TATGGAATAAAAAATGTGTTAGAAGGTAATTACTACTAAGCTTTAGTTTTTTGGGGGGTAATGTACTGTATAATCTCCAGTTCATTGGTTTTCTGGCCAATGGGGAATACATAAGCTCCATAAGGTAAAATAATGATGAAATGTCTTGTCAGCAATTAATGAGAGCCAGAACAGCAGTAGCAGAGCCATTGGGCCTTTGGCAGATAATTAATGTATAAAAACGCCTCTACAAAGTTGCTGGACATGTTGCCACTAAACATCCGAGCAAGGTAAGCTTGTGAAAACAGTAAATGCATCTTATCATTTAAAAAACAAATTACTATTTTATAGTGATTTTACTGGAACAGTTTAATTCAACAATAATTAAACATCCTGTTTTACTGTATTAAATTTTAAATCTTTTTTTAGCTTTCCATTGAAATAGTCTCAATAAATGAAGATTAAAAATATATAAATGATTAGATAGTGAACAGACAGTTTTGTAGAAATTACTATCTTTGGATGTTTTTGAAACCTTAAGCCTGATGGGCATCTTGTGGTTATTTTTATTTTTATATTTTGAAGCTTTCCTCATTGCTTTTATTTCCTATTATTATAAATGTTTTGTTACTTTATCAACATACAGTAATATGTACTTTGTATTCAACTTCACTTTATGTACTTTAGTAATACAATATAATATCTTAAGCTTTACTAGTCATATTAATATGTTTTGCACAAACTAAATACACATTTCTCCTTTGGCACACGTGTACTCACTTAACAATTTTATCAAAGTTTTTCATTTCTAATTGAGAAATCTGTTGATTTAAAGAAACAAATTAGTTTTTGTTTAGTTTTTGATTTTGTTTTTTACATGATACAGTATGCAGTAGCTCCAGTAACGTACACCCATTGATAGAACATACCAAAGGAATTATAGTATGACTGTAATTAAGCATGGATTAAACCAATATAAAAACATTTCTGGCTTTACACTGTATGACCACATGCACTTTTAAAGAACAAAAGACATTGAAAATAAATAATTTGTCAGTGATACTGAAGCTAAACTAGTTCTGCTTACTACAAGAAATTGTATTGTCAGAATTATACAGGAGAGGAAAGGGGATACTACAGCCATGCTTGTCTGCTTCAGTTTAGTTGAATACATGAAAAATTATTTGCTTTCACGTATCCATATACTATTTAAAAAGTACAAAGTTATTTATCAAGTGTCTCAGGTTTTAGTGCTAAAGACAGTTGTGCTTTTTGGTATAAAAATGATACCTCTAATTAAGAAAAAGTTAAGAAAACTTGAAATTGTGTTATTGAAATTATCAATTGCATGATTTTTTGTCTTTCTCCAGGAAGAGACTTTTCACACTTTGCCTCGACTACCCAACATGAACTTCTCTCAAACCGGGATGGCTGCAAATGCACAGTTCTGTTACGACTCTGTAAACAATTCATGTCTGAAACATGTTTATTTGCCTACTATACGTATCCCACTGTATCTCATCGCTGTAACAGTCATTCTTTTGACTGTATGTGGAAACCTGTTCGTCATCATCTCCATTGCACACTTCAAACAGCTTCACACGCCGACCAATTTTCTTGTCCTTTCTCTAGCGGTTGTTGATTTGCTATTAGGAGGCTTTCTGATGCCTACAGCTACAGTCCGATGCCTTGAATCCTGCTGGTATTACGGTGACTTGTTTTGTAAAATCCAAGAGAGTCTAGATGTTATGTTATGTACTGCTACAATTTTGCATCTATCTTTCATTTCAATTGATCGATATTATGCTGTATGTGAACCGCTAAAATACAAAACTAAAATTAACATCTGTGTTGCATTTTACATGATTACAGTTAGTTGGAGTATTTCAGCTGTTACTGGATTTGGAATGATATTTCTAGAGTTAAATATAATGGGAATGGAAGATGTCTACTATGACACATTTTATTGTATAGGTAGCTGTAAACTTATACAGACTGAAGCATCAAGCATTATTTCCTCCACACTCTCTTTTTACATCCCTGGGTTTATTATGATAGGCATCTATTCGAACATTTTCCTTGTAGCAAGGAGACAAGCCAGGACAATTCAAGGCCTCGTATCCCAGAGTAAGACCTCCCAAGACAGCAGGAAAACAACTTCAAGCAAGACAGAAAGAAAAGCTGCAAAGACACTGGGCATAGTGATGGGGGTCTTTCTCTGCTGCTGGATGCCATTTTTCTTGTGTAATACCCTGAACGCTACATTCAATTATTCAGTTCCATCAGTTTTATTTAACAGTCTTTTGTGGTTAGGCTACTTAAATTCTACATTTAATCCTCTTGTCTATGCTTTCTTTTACAGCTGGTTCAGAAAAGCTCTTGGTATGATTGTGTTTGGTCAAATATTTAAAACCGATTCTTCTAGAACAAAACTAATTACAGATTAAAGTTATTTAGTCGCATATTAGTTATATTATATATAATTCATGAATAAATTATTATAACCGTGACAATATTAAAATGACAATATGTGATTGTTACAAAGAGGTGATGATGATTTATGGAATTAATCATATTGTTGAGGGGTTTAAATAAAAGACAAAGAAAGATTATTGCTAAATATTTGCAAGACATGAAAAATATTCATATTCTCACAATGATTTGTATAATTCAGTAACAAATAGGACTAAAATTTCAGAGACCATGTGTAGAGAAAGAAAAATATTATTGAAATCCCTTGTTAAGTTAATACTTTTGCATCTCGCTTTCTTTATCATGTGCTGCCGACATTGATGTGTAATTGTGATGCAGGCTTTCTCATCTATGTGTATGATATTATGAAATAAATATGATAATATCTCTGTATGCATTTATTCAAACTAATTAATGCCTTAAAGCCCAAGCCTTCCTAGAACAGTTGTTGACCTCTAATGTGGTTTATCAGGCAAACATCCACACTGTGTAATTTTTGGAGAATATAGAGGACAGACCTGGCTGCCACCACATTTAGAAAATAATTCACCATTTTTACCATTTTTGCCATCATCATGCAGTCTAGCTGATGATTTTATTTCCTCAGAATATTGTACTTTTTTGCAGTACAAAAAAAAATCTCTCAACTTACATGCTGAAAAGATAACATCTTCAGAGCTCATTTAGTGTAAAATTTTATTTTTGTAAAACACTGCAATTCATGTACTGACAGTGTGCAATGTAATTTGCACTTCCTAATCAAAGGTTCCTTAAAGCAGAAAGGTAAAGACTTTTCTGTTAAACTAAATTTAAATACTGTATTAAATTTAGTTGTCAGCATATCTAGCTCATGCTTTTATGAGGTGGAATGAAAAACATATCTGTTCTCAATAACACCACTTTATCTGCTGAGGTTGCCTGTAGGAAGATCTGGTTCTTTAAATGACGATTACTGACGTTTAGTTTGAAAAAGCATTGCCTCGTAAATCTTGTATTTTGTTTAATTACACTTCGTAAAATGAGTTTACTTCTAATCAATTATATTTCAATTTTAAATTAAAAATGCTTTAATAATAAATACATTTGAAAAGTAATGATTATTCTTACGGGCTTTATTCCTAATGAAGAACGGATTAATTCCATGTAGACTAAGTTACAAGGAAATGTCATGACTGATGATGAAAACTCCACCCCCCACAGAAAAAAAATATGATTTTTTCAAACAAAAACCACAAATAGTTTTGCTTCTATTTCTGAGATTGTATCTTTTAGAAACAGTTCCAAAAACGTTAACTTAATGTTATAGGGCAGATTTATTAACAACTCTGCCCAACAAATATAAAATATTTAATAGAAATGTTAGCACCACTATATTTAACCACAAGAACAGAAACCATTGCAAAGCTTTAATAAAAAAGAACATTTCTCAATACATATTTAAAATACCTTCTGAAAATGGAGCAAACAACAGCCTTTAAAAGACATACTGTATGAACCATCAGTAGCTGAAAGCAGAAATCTAATTTTCACTGCAAGATAAAGCAAACTCTCTAATAGCGTTTGTAGCTCTAGGTCTAATCACAATCAATATCCAGTGCCAAGAATTGATAAAGGCTGTAAAGGTCATGCAAGGAAGGCCATTTGTTTGCACCTGAGTGAAAACAGTACAAGCTTAAGGACAAGTGGGTTTCAGGTTAGGAAAAATATTTGTCAAATAACTCTTAGCTCGTAAAGACTGCCGGTGGCAATTAGTAAGACCACATACTGCATCAAACTCCATTCACCTTTGTGCAAAGGGACATCCGTGAAAAAATACCTTAATTCAAGTTTTACACAGGTTGAACTGCTGACCTTTTATAGCTACTTGGTCATTACAATCCGACAATTAATTTTAAGGATCACCTAGCTGTTTTAATCAAAAACGTTTCTATAAAATGTAGCAGTTATCTGCCGCTGGTACAGATTTTTAAGTGCTACTCTCCATGTAATCGGCAACGTTATTGTCAGCCGTACTCCTGTCAGTATTACATTTTAGAACTGTAAAATTCTCAGCCTCCAGGCAATCAGCATGACATAAGGTTGAAATATGTAGATTGATGTCCTTGGAGAATGTTCTACACCTCTGCAGTGCTTCTGACACTGAAGGCAGACAAAAACAGCTCTTAATTTGCAGAGATGGAACATAAAAATGGTTACAAAGGAGAGGAGGCGATCTGGATGATTCTTGGTTACTAGTTGCTAATTGATCTGAGGATCAATTGAAAAAAGCTGAGAAGATGCCCATAATACCTACAAAGTGCACAGACTAAAAAGGTGGAAATAAACCTCCGAGGAGTCCTTTGTGATGACCCGTAAAGCTGATCAGAAAAACTAATCCATTGATAAGTTTGATGTGCCAATACAGCAACCGTAAACATTTTAAATCTCTGGCAATTTGTTAACAGTGACATTAACAGTAACAGCCCAGTTTGTCCTAAAACCATATAAAAGTGCTTGTCAGGCTCATCCACTTTTCCACAAGTAACCAAGGAGATCTGGCAACTGATCTGCTTGATATACACAATCTTGTCACTCCACACCACATGCAGAGCTCAAATCTGTACCGCTTTGTACAAATAGCATTTTCTATGCTCCATCAAACAGTTTTAGCATATACAGTTTTTAGAGTCAATAAAAGTGTGCTGTAGGGTATTAGCCCTTTGGCCTTACCAAGGTACAAAAGTGAATTATTCAAAGAACAAAAGGAATGTGCTACAAAAATTACTAACGATCTCTCACATCTGGGTTGTTGGCTACTTTTATTGGATGTGGAGAGCAACGGGAAGAGAAGGGCCAGCAACATTGTCTATGAATTACACCTGCTACCTCCATACACTTAACAGATCAAAGAACAGGTGTCAGAGCATGAGGCTGCAATCAGTGAACACCAGCTGCTGTGTTACCAGCACTCCCGCATGTGCTTCAACAAGAGCTGCATCACTAATAGAGATTACA